TAAACATTAAAATAATTTTTTTTTTTTTATCTTCTTGCTAACAGTTATTCCTGAATTTAAAACAGTGAGATTTTTTTTTTATTAAAACATTTGCAATATATACAAATAATTAGTCAAATAAATATTCAATTCTATTAAATTAACTTGGTATTATAATTTTACTCGGAGTGGAAACTCATGCACTCTGATGACCTTATGTGTTCATAGTCTACGTAGTAAATCACACATTCGAGCAGGCGTTAGGAAAGTCGTGTACATGTACATGTACATGACAGTGCGGGTGAGAATGTGACTCTTAACTTTTATAAAGAATATCTCTTTGGATTTGAGACTTTAGTCTTTGCAACTTTACAGATCTTCTTTATGCACCAAGAGCTTGTAACACTCCAAAGAGAAAGGAAAAATTGAAATCGCATCATATGACCCCTTTATACATACATTTTAAACGTGCATAAAATTAATTTGTCCTGCAACAGGGTTTATATAACTTAAGCCAGGTTCACACTACAGCATTTTAAAGGCACAATATGTAATTTTCGCCGCTAGAGGGCGCGTATTCAAAACAAACAAAGAAACAAAGGCGTAGTTTGATGACGCCGTGACTGAGTGTGGAATCATGGGAGTTGTCGTCATCATCCCCACAGCAGATGCAATTTGATGGGACTCGGGCAGAAAAGCAAGGGTGTATGACGTCATTGGCAGGTGACACAATGACACTATAGACACGCTCTGTGTCACTAGTTAAAATTGCTTATTTCTCTGGATTTAAACATTCTTCGAAACATTTGGGATAATGTAAGTACACAAGTCAGCAAAATATATAAAACTGTTCTAGTGGTTTTTGGATATTTTAATAAAAAATCTCGACGAGCTACAGCCAATGAGAGATCAAGGCATGGGTTGAGGTCAGCGGAAGAAAAACAGCAGCGGCAACACGGCTTTAAGAAAAGTTTGGACACAAGAAATGGAGTGAAATTTTTTAGAACAGATCATCACGCAAACAGCTTGCAGCACTAATTTCTTCCCGACGTCCATGTTCAAATAAACAACTCATGTTTCACTTGTTGTTTCGCATCATTCCCGTTCACCTTCTTGCGTGTTTTCGTGAAAAAACGTGATTTGGGGGCTGTAGAGTCGTTGGGTGACAGAGTTGTTGTCAGCTCGTGTAGTGTATGACTCCCTGTTGTGGATTATTTACATAATGTCACATACATAGTGTCACATAGTGTGAACACCACAACGACTTCAAGACAGACAGCAAGTCATGTAGTCTGAATAGCACAGCGATCTGCCGACGTTTTAAGTCGTGTAGTGTGAACTTGGCTTAAGCAGCACCATACACTGCCATTCAAAACTTTGGGGTCGTTAGATTTTTATTGTTTTTGAAAGGAGTCTCTTATGCTTAAAGCTGCATTTATTTAATCAAAATACAGTAAAAACAGAAGTGTTGTGAAATATTACTAAAATTTAAAATAAAATTTTTAGTCTTCTATTTTAGCATCATTACTCCAGTCTTCAGTGTCACATGATCCTTCAGAAATCATTTTTAATATGCTGATATGATGCTCAAGAAACATTTCTTCTTATTATCAAATGTTTTAGACAGTTGTGCTGCTTTATTTTCGTGGAAACCATGATATTTTTTTCAGGATTATTTGAATACAATGTTCAAAAGAACATTTATTTGAAATAGAAAACTTTTGTAACATTATAATGGCCTTTACTGTCAACTTTTGATCAATTTAATGTATCCTTGCTGAATAAAGTATTCATTTCTGCCCCCCCCAAAATAACAAAACTGAGCCCTAACTTTTGAATGTTAGTGTACATAAACATTAAAAGAATTTTTTTTTTTTATCTTCTTGCTAACAGTTATTCCTGAATTTAAATCAGTGAGATTTTTTTTTTATTAAAACATTTGCAATATATACAAATAATTAGTCAAATAAATATTAAATTCTATTAAATTAACTTGGTATTATAATTTTACTCGGAGTGGAAACTCATGCGTGTAGACCTATTGTTTAAATCGAATTTATGCTTTAAAAGTAGAGTAATCATAGCAGTTTTCATCCATAGTATGTCCATTTAAACGTCTGCGATTAGCTTCATAAAAATTATTTGCATTCCGATCTTGACATCAAAAGGCACAAAAATATTTTTTTTCTTTTATTCCATGGATTTTACCCATTTACCTCCACTTGTTCCCAGTGTTTTTCTGCAACCACTATGCGTGCAGCTGCAAGTGACGTAACTGTGAGGTCTACTCTGAATTGGTCTATTGCACTGCAAGAAAACTAACCAACCAATAAGATTAGATCTTTTCTAAAAGCGCCACCTACTGTCAGAGAGTGATTTCACATTTTCATTCAGCTCCTCTGCCATTTTTTATGCATGGATCTGAACAGACAGATCACATGTGAAAATTGCACCAAACATTTTTTGTTGATGTAAACAAGGCTTTAATATCTCAGAAAAACTTGACAAAAGATTTTTCCCAGGATATATGCTCCTATTACTATGCCAATGAACTCTTCAGTTCCTTTATTCTATCCGTATCATCTTCAAATGTGTCAGATGGTTTGCAGGTGCAGATAAAACATCAGATTCAGACGATTCAAATCTGTCAGTATGTTACCTGAGTTAGAATGTAGTTTCTCTGAGCTTCATCCACTGAGATCAGACTGGCATTGATGTAGTCATTACTGCCGATCTGTAGACGAATACGGCTGTGGTCAACTGTGAAAAGAGAGAGCGATTAAGCTGTGAGGCGCATCACCCATCATGCTTTGCAAGTTCAGTGGTGGAACGACTCTTTTTCAGGTCCTGTTCTCAGTTCCCCACACGAGAGAAAAACATTCCCCTGATGAAAACGCTCAATTGAAACAGATAAAATACACAGTCATTCATTTAATGTGGTGTTTTGTGAGCTGAGGACCTTTTCAGGTTGTTGTGGAAAAAGAGAAAGACTCAGAGAGAGAGAGAGAGAGGAAACCACAGCAGCGTTGCTCTTTAAAGTCATTGTGACGGAAGAGTTAAAAAAGGGAGAGAGAAAAAAGACATGACATCTTCAGTGTGAAATGACTGTAACAGCTCGCTGATAACAGGCCCCTTCCGTTAGGTGTCACTGACTGTGTCGAACAGGGGAAGCGGCACACTTACACGGACTGACGTCTCTGTAGCGATTAAGACTTCTGTTTTCTGGAAGTTTGGCGATCTTGCATGGTAGGTCACTGGACTGCTGCCTAATCTCCTACGGTAAAACACAAGTCTATGAGATGAAAATGCTTCTTACTGTAAGTAAAACTAATATGTGACAAATGGTTTGCTGGGGGAATAACTATATGGCAGACAGTTTATGATGTCATTCATCCATCACTGTCATTAAAAACTGCAAGTGAGCCAGATTAGGAGATAAAAGTGTTAAACCAACTAATAATAGACACCCTCTCATAAAAGATGAACTCATCCCCCTCATCTCTATATTGGTCCCCGTTTACAAATGACAAATTCAGGTCATCTCTATGTAACTTGTTATATCATTTATTCTGTGGAATAGGGAAGAAGCAGCGCAATCTGAGCTGTCAAAAATAAACATCACATAAAAATAAAATAAACTTTTGGATCGTTATGAATATTTTGAGCATCATAATCAATTATGAAGAAGAATCAGTCCTTCACCTGGTAAACGGCGTTCCAGTTCCCGAGCTCATCGATTTCCCGAAACTCGGCTTCCATTGCCGCGTGTGTTCCGCGCCGCTCGATAGACGACTCTTTGACGATACAATTAGTTATAAAGTCGATGTCGAATCACATGAAAAAAATAGACTTTTAAAGTCTGCTTTAATTTTCTTACAGAACGTTTCCAGTGGTTCTGTTGTGTCGCTCTTACCGGAAACACGCTGCTCGCTCCTCCCGCAGCACGGCTCTCCGCTGTCCGTCGTGATCACGCCCCTCTTTCCTTACATTGACCAATGAAATTCCGTGAGTGGCCGTGAACTCCAGGCAAAGGCCAATCAACGCAACGTTGTGGGGCGTGGCAATCCCTGCGGCCAATCATACTGCGGAGCATTACCTCTTCATTATTCTGGGCTTTGTAGTTTTTTGTAGTTCGAGGAATTTACGCATAACGCATGTCCGTAAAGAGATTTAGAAACGTGCATGAAATAAAATGGCTCGTATTTTCAACCAAAACATTGCAGTTTTAAAAGTGGAATCAATTAATAGCATATAGTTTTTCTTTGTATGCAGCATTTAACTAAGTAAATGTGATACTTTGAATATCTATATTTCAAAATTATATTTGAGATTTTGTGAATTTAGGCTTAACCCTCGTATTCCTCACTCAAAGTCCGTGTAAAGCAATATTAAATATGTGTTCAAATATGAGTTTGTCACACCACAGAAAAATGTGTAATTAACCACCCAGTCAAATTTGAATGATAAAAAAAACCCGCCAAGTAAATCAAATAAATGATCAAAATCTTGAAAAAAATAAGCAGTATTCTCTGCTCTCAAACGCTGGGGGCGTTTCCGCTGTCGGTGCTGAAACCACGCCCACTCGCGTGATAATATGCATAATATGCATTTACGTGAGGAAGGTATAGCTAGCTATCAACTGTAGCCTATCAATTTCTGCACCCCTGCCAGATTATGCACCCATTAACCACCCAGTCAAATTTGAATGATAAAAAAAACCCGCCAAGTAAATCAAATAAATGATCAAAATCTTGAAAAAAATAAGCAGTATTCTCTGCTCTCAAACGCTGGGGGCGTTTCCGCTGTCGGTGCTGAAACCACGCCCACTCGCGTGATAATATGCATAATGTGCATTTACGTGAGGAAGGCATAGCTAGCTATCAACTGTAGCCTATCAATTTCTGCACCCCTGCCAGATTATGCACCCCCTCGTTGAAATCGCTACCTGATTGCCTAATCCCAACCCCACCCCTAATCCTAACCCCTCCCCCACACCTACTCCTAAACCTACCAATACTAGGGGGTGCATAATTTGGCAGGGTGCAAATTTCGGCACTACATTGGTGTAGCAAGTGTTCTTCCTTCTCTGACAGACACAGAACGTCCCTCCATTGTCTTCTTATCGTCCTGATATTTAGCACCCTGTATGTCAGACTGTTTTAATCTGTGTTCATTCAGTAATTTGTGTTATAATTTGCTGCTACTGAATTGAACCGTCTGGTTCTACAGGTTTCATAGAGACTCAGCGACCAGACGGCGAGCAGCTGCTGGTGAGCTTCCATGAACTGATCTAACATCCTATCCAGCCAGGTAATTTAACGGACGAACACTGATCTCTTATATTATTAACTCTAGTCTGTAATATTAATCTACGAACTGTGATGAAAGCAACCATATGTTTTTTGTAATTAATGTTCAAATCAGACCATAAGGAAGTGCATTAGCATCCAGGCTAGTGTTGTCCGCTTTGGCTAAACTGATTCAGTTTTGTCATATAACAGCGATGTTACACGCGGTATAATAAGACAGACAGCCGGGAAACAAACGCGTTTAGCAGAACATTGCTCGACGTAAGGATTCGTAAATGTTTTTTAGTGGTTGATCGCATATTTGTTTGGTTAGCCTGTAAGCATGCTAAGTTAAAAGGACGTAAACCTTTGACGCTATGCAAAACTGGATCAGCCAGTCCAGCCATACCAGATCTGAGCAAATAAACAAACTGATCGTGTTATAACAGATTTCACGAATGCTATTCAAGTTAAAATAAATATTTTTTAATCTAGTTTATATTCGTTCAATCAGTATTAGAAATTAGTGGAAGGGGGCCCCTGGAATAGATTTTTAGGGGCTTTTGCACATCAAATATTTAATTTACGACAACAATTATAGTGAAACAATTAATTATTAATCAACCAGTTAGATATGCCAAGAATGGAATATTATGAAGTCTGTGATAAATCTATCTTTTCTACATGGCCAACATTGTTAACAGCATGTCAGTCATTCTTGAGACATGGGACAAAACAGGTCCAGCAAGGGTAACTGCTATTAGGTTTAAAATAAAAATATTTTCAATTTTAAATGTCATGAGGGATTAATAATAGAATGTATTTAACACAATTATCACCTTCAATTTTCGTCGAAATCGCCGGCCGTGCCGTTCTCAAGCCCACCCGCCTCCGCTCACTCAGCCCGCCGACCGTTCCTCACTTTGTCCCCCGGCCTCTGCTCACTCTAGGCCGCCGTATGTGAATCAACGCAACGTTGTGGGGCGTGGCAATCCCTGCGGCCAATCATACTGCGGAGCATTACCTCTTCATTATTCTGGGCTTTGTAGTTTTTTGTAGTTCGAGGAATTTACGCATAACGCATGTCCGTAAAGAGATTTAGAAACGTGCATGAAATAAAATGGCTCGTATTTTCAACCAAAACATTGCAGTTTTAAAAGTGGAATCAATTAATAGCATATAGTTTTTCTTTGTATGCAGCATTTAACTAAGTAAATGTGATACTTTGAATATCTATATTTCAAAATTATATTTGAGATTTTGTGAATTTAGGCTTAACCCTCGTATTCCTCACTCAAAGTCCGTGTAAAGCAATATTAAATATGTGTTCAAATATGAGTTTGTCACACCACAGAAAAATGTGTAATTAACCACCCAGTCAAATTTGAATGATAAAAAAAACCCGCCAAGTAAATCAAATAAATGATCAAAATCTTGAAAAAAATAAGCAGTATTCTCTGCTCTCAAACGCTGGGGGCGTTTCCGCTGTCGGTGCTGAAACCACGCCCACTCGCGTGATAATATGCATAATATGCATTTACGTGAGGAAGGTATAGCTAGCTATCAACTGTAGCCTATCAATTTCTGCACCCCTGCCAGATTATGCACCCCCTCGTTGAAGTCGCTACCTGATTGCCTAATCCCAACCCCACCCCTAATCCTAACCCCTCCCCCACACCTACTCCTAAACCTACCAATACTAGGGGGTGCATAATTTGGCAGGGTGCAAATTTCGGCACTACATTGGTGTAGCAAGTGTTCTTCCTTCTCTGACAGACACAGAACGTCCCTCCATTGTCTTCTTATCGTCCTGATATTTAGCACCCTGTATGTCAGACTGTTTTAATCTGTGTTCATTCAGTAATTTGTGTTATAATTTGCTGCTACTGAATTGAACCGTCTGGTTCTACAGGTTTCATAGAGACTCAGCGACCAGACGGCGAGCAGCTGCTGGTGAGCTTCCATGAACTGATCTAACATCCTATCCAGCCAGGTAATTTAACGGACGAACACTGATCTCTTATATTATTAACTCTAGTCTGTAATATTAATCTACGAACTGTGATGAAAGCAACCATATGTTTTTTGTAATTAATGTTCAAATCAGACCATAAGGAAGTGCATTAGCATCCAGGCTAGTGTTGTCCGCTTTGGCTAAACTGATTCAGTTTTGTCATATAACAGCGATGTTACACGCGGTATAATAAGACAGACAGCCGGGAAACAAACGCGTTTAGCAGAACATTGCTCGACGTAAGGATTCGTAAATGTTTTTTAGTGGTTGATCGCATATTTGTTTGGTTAGCCTGTAAGCATGCTAAGTTAAAAGGACGTAAACCTTTGACGCTATGCAAAACTGGATCAGCCAGTCCAGCCATACCAGATCTGAGCAAATAAACAAACTGATCGTGATTTCACGAATTTCACGAATGCTATTCAAGTTAAAATAAATATTTTTTAATCTAGTTTATATTCGTTCAAGAAATTAGTGAAATTAGTGGAAGGGGGCCCCTGGAATAGATTTTTAATGCTGTTCACTTTATTTAAACAATTCCTTTTGATTTAACACCATTATATCAGGTTTCCTGTTCAAACACGACTGCATCATGTTGAACAGACTTATACAAATCAGTCATTCTTGAGACATGGGACAAAACAGGTCCAGCAAGGGTAACTGCTATTAGGTTTAAAATAAAAATATTTTCAATTTTAAATGTCATGAGGGATTAATAATAGAATGTATTTAACACAATTATCACCTTCAATTTAATTTTCTCATTATTATACCAAATCTATGTTTCTTAAAGGGGTCATATGATGCGATTTAAATTATTCCTTTCTTTTTGGAGTGTTACAAGCTCTTGGTACATAAAGAAGATCTGTAAAGTTGCAAAGACTAAAGTCTCAAATCCAAAGAGATATTCTTTATAAAAGTTAAGAGTCAACCACGCCTACCTAAAACGGCTCGTTCTAACACGCTCCCACATGTCTACTACGATTTTAAAGTTGCGTCCCCACTTTTTGTCAACATCGTCAGACATTCAATAAAATGTAATAAAATCAGGGAATATCAGGGGCAGCTGTTACTCTAAAGGACCCCCTTGCCACAGTTCACCTCTGCAGAGTACATCAGTGTCAGACAGGCTCTGCTAAGTTTTAGTTTTAGAATATTTTAAATCCTAATGTTAATATTTCCTTTGTCACAGCCATGATATGTCAACACCATCTTCCAATTTCTGAGGAACTTATTTGAAATATTTAGATAATTTTATTCTCCTGAAGCAGGTCATATTAGCATCTAGCATCAACAGAAAAAAATAAAATGCTACTACATGAACTCCATTGGTTTTGTGAAAGAAATGCCAAATTTGTCAACACCGTCAGATGTCACCACCATAAGAGTTTGTGTTCCAATTATATATCAAAATACTTAAATGTGACTCTTGATAAAAGCTTTATAAACAATAACATACTCACTGTTTGTTGTGTTTGTTTTAATACAGTAATTGACTGATTCAATGTATTTGATAGTTAAAATGACTACAAATTCAGGTTTTCGTCACCTCCGTCAGATGTGTCAACTCCCTCAGTTCTGTCACCTCCGTCAGTTGAATATTTTGATAATATTTCATTATGATATTTTATATTTGTTGTGGAATTATTGGTCACGTGAAAGTGTAATCTGTCTGCTAACACGAGAATGTGTTTTGAAATGTTAAAAACATCTTGAATGCTGTTAAAGATAAAGTTGAAATTATATTGCACAGTCCAAGGTAAAAAAAGTACATTTTGTTAATAAAGAGAAAAGTTGGGAGGTTGTATCAAAGCATAGCTCAGTAGCTTAGTACATATAAGATACATAAATGTAGTTTAATTTGTCTGAGTACAAGGTTTTATTTTTTCAATTTTGCACCCTGTTTTGTCCCACTTCTCAAGAATGACTGATGTGTTAATCTCTACATTTTATGTATCATCATCAGGCCCAGATTGTGAACTGTGGGACAAGGTGGAAACTCTGGGGAGTTTTAGGTTTGTCTCCCCATGACAACGTGTCACCATGGCGACCGCGGCTCCAAAGGTGATGCCGAGCGGTGCACCTCTGATGATGAGGACGCGGAGCTCACTGAGCTTGGGCCGCTGCTGACAAATCCAGCTGAAGCAAAGAAATCAAGAGTGAGTTGTGAGAAAAGAAAATACTCTACCGTTTGGGGTCAGTAGGATTTTTATTTAGAGAAATTAATAATTTTATTCAGCAAAGGCACATTAAACTGTTAAAAAGTTACAGTAAAGACATCTATAAAGTTCCAAAATGTTTCTGTTTCAAATAAATTCTGTTCTTTTGACCTTTCTATTCATCAAATAATTTGTCAAATCAACTTTGCCATCACTGGTATAAGTTGCATTCTAAAATATATTAAAATGGAAAACAATTATTTTAACAATTATGGATTTTTTTTTACTGTATTTTTAATCAAATAAATGCAGCCTTGCTGAGACCCCAAACTTTTAAATAGTAATGTACATATAATAGATGGAGTGAGGCAAGAATAACTCAATTTACCTAAAAGCTAAACGTTAACTAAAAGCATTATTGCTGTTGCAGGGTGCATCAGCATTTCCTGATGAAGATGAGAACGAGGATGAAGAACAAGGTTTGCGGGTGGTTACACTGCCCATGCAGGCACACCATGCCATGGAGAAGATGGAGGAGTTTGTACACAAGGTGACTAATGTCCTTATCCTCAACTGTTCTAGAACTCCTAATGACGTAATTATTTCCAAAAATACCATGTATTTAATTAATCACAATGTTTGTGTGTAAAATGATTGTAATGTAAATGTGGCCTATTTCTAGTCTGAGATGTTTAAGCAAACTTGTACCGTTACTAGGTATGGGAAGGACGTTGGCGAGTTATTCCATACCATCTCCTCCCCGATTGGCTAAAGGATAATGATTACCTGCTGCAGGGACACCGCCCACCCATGCCGTCCTTCCGTGCCTGTTTTGGGAGCATCTTCAGGATTCACACAGAAACTGGAAACATCTGGACGCACCTGCTGGGTTTGTGCTTGTGATATGTGACATGATAATGCACAAAAGTAAAATGTAACAAAACAAGCATCTCTTGAAATACTACACATCACTGTAGCTTCTACATGTAAACCGACTACCAGAAAAAAAACTAAAACTCCTTAACAGTTTTTAATAAACATTTCCTGTTTCCCAAATTTTAAGTTTCCTGCTGTTCAAAGATTTGCGGTCAAATTGATTTTTTTTTATGCTTTTGAAATAAGTCTCTTATGCTCACCAAGGCAATATTTATTTGATCAAAATACAGTAAAAACATTAATAATTTGAAATATTATGACAATTTAAAATAGTCATTTTCCACTTTAAGATATTTGAAAATATATTTATTTCTGTGGGAAAGTTGGTCTTGTGATCCAGTGTCACATGATCCTTCTGAAATCATTCTGATCATATGCTGATTTGATGCTCAAGCAACATTTCTTATTATTATCAATGTGGAAAACAGTTGTTCTGATTTATGTTTTTTGGAAACCATGATCATTTTTTCTGGACTCTTTGATGAAGAGGAAGTTCAAATTTATTTGAAATAGAAATATTTTGAAACATCAAAATTCTTTACTGTCACTTTTAAACAGTAGTATATGTCATATAACCCCAGTGGCTTTTGAAGAAAGACGTTTCACACCTTCTGGAACTTACCAGATAAATTGTACTTGCCAGATAAATTGTACGATATATTTGTAATATGATATGTGTGAATCACTGCCCTGAGGATGACACAAAGCACACCACTTAGACTTCTAATGTCACTCAAACCTGTAATTATGTTACTGGTATGTCATTTTGAAGGCTAATTAAGCTATCACAATGTCTCCCTACAGGCTTAATTCTGTTCCTGTGCTTGGGCACATTGACAATGCTGCGGCCAAACGTTTCATTCATGGCGCCCGTGCAGGAGAAGGTGGTGTTTGGGATGTTCTTCCTGGGTGCAGTTCTTTGTTTGAGCTTCTCCTGGCTTTTTCACACTGTCTACTGCCACTCAGAAAAAGTCTCAAGGACTTTCTCCAAGTAAGAGACACCAGGTTTTTATGCTCTGTGTGTAGGCAGTACTCATGTTAAGTGGCATTTTGTACATTGGTGGCCAAGAGTTTTTTTGTTTTTGAAATATGCTCCCCAAGACCGCATTTATTTAAAGGGCTCATCGGATGAACATTTTCCACAAGTGTTTGATTAGGGTTGGAGCTAAACTCTGCAGGACTGCGGCTCTCTAGGACCGAACTTGCCTACCCTTGTCCTATCCTAACAAACCAAACATCAATGGAAAGCTTATTTATTCAGACTCCAGATGATGTATAAATCTAAATTTCAATAAATTGACCCTTAAGGCTTGTTTTTGTGGTCCAGGGTCACATTTGTGTTTGTCTGTGTAGCCAACGACAGAACATTTAGCATGTTTTTCGTGAACTTTTGCCTTGGCGTCTGAACAAGTACACCAGTGTCGCTTGCGAAAACAACAATGCCAGCTGAGCGCCGTGGATGGAAACGTGCAGATTAATGGGCGGTAATATTATGTCTCCCTACAGGCTTAATTCTGTTCCTGTGCTTGGGCACATTGACAATGCTGCGGCCAAACGTTTCATTCATGGCGCCCGTGCAGGAGAAGGTGGTGTTTGGGATGTTCTTCCTGGGTGCAGTTCTTTGTTTGAGCTTCTCCTGGCTTTTTCACACTGTCTACTGCCACTCAGAAAAAGTCTCAAGGACTTTCTCCAAGTAAGAGACACCAGGTTTTTATGCTCTGTGTGTAGGCAGTACTCATGTTAAGTTGCATTTTGTACATTGGTGGCCAAGAGTTTTTTTGTTTTTGAAATATGCTCCCCAAGACCGCATTTATTTAAAGGGCTCATCGGATGAACATTTTCCACAAGTTGGCATGATTTATTAGGGTCTTCATGAAATGTCTGTAACATATTTTGCTTAAAAACACTCAATGGCTGTGTAAACAACACCCTTTTTGCCTTGTCAAAAACAGCTCTGCTCACACTAACCCGTTTTGGTGTATGTCTCTTTAAATGATAATGAGTTACTGCACTCCACCCCCCTTCCGGGATTTCCACTAAAAATAAAATAAATCCACTCCTCTCTTGTCTCCTCTGAGGCTGGGACTCTAAATAATGATTTGTGACCCTGGACCACAAAACCAGTCTTAAGTCGCTTGGGTAT